AGACTTGAATTTTAAAAATCCTATACTGTGCATTGGCATGGATGCCTTTCCTCGCTACGGTACCTGCAATATTTAATTGCAAAGTGTGCGCAAAATAAGAGCCCAAATGAATGGCAAAACACCAATCTCACTATAATAATTTTTCGCCCTTGTCCGAGAAGGCTAGGTGTAGATCTTTCCTACCATAAGATCAGGGGCGTGGCTGAAAGACAGCAGTAGGAGCCAAGGAGTAGCAGTAGAAAGGCTGCAGAAAAGAATCAGGAGCCCACATGAGGGGGCAAAGGAGGTGAGGGGTGGGGGCAGAAAGTGGAGACAAAAGCAGATGACAGAACATTACAGGTGAAGGGAGACAATTTAGAGAAGAAAATTTTCCGTCGCTATCCGGATTCGAACCAGTGACCAATTGAATGAGAGGCGAACACCTTAACCTCCTAACAAAGTTTGTGCTCCCCACTCCCACCCCCCTCTACCCCCACCTCTCAGCCTACCCCCACTGTTTTATGTATTTGTCCGGGTTTTTTTAAATTGTTCCCCATCTTGGCTTCTAATGAAGTGATACAGACCATCACTTGCGTATGTGTTTTGGGAGTGAAGTACTGGTCAGTTTCATTTATCGCCCTCTTCTGTCTGCCATTACTGTCTACGTCTTGGTTTTGTTTTTGTTTTGTTTTTCAATAAATCACTTGTGAACTCCCAGTTTCTGACTTTTAGGAATGATTGTCACAGCGCTTCAAGCTAAATAAAAATCATCTTGTTAACCCCAAGAATATTACTGTTAATTCCCCGTGTTCGATAGAATTTCACTGGGGGAGTGGGGGGGGGGGTAAATATAATACCGATTTTTAGTATTCAGATTAATTTAATACAACAAAACCAGAAAAACGGAGTTGCAGAAAGACAGTATTAAGCTCGCACAGTATTATATTATGCTTTTTTTCGTAAACAAATTTTTTATAAACCGATTTCGTTGAAATAACTGTATTAAAGTGTCTATCTATCTATCTGTCTACCTATCTATCTATCTATCTACCTACCTACCTATCTATCTATCTATCTATCTATCTATCTATCTATCTATCTATCTATCTATCTATCTATCTGTCTGTCTATCTATCTATCTATCTATCTATCTATCTATCTATCTATCTATCTATCTATCTATCTGTCTGTCTATCTATCTATCTATCTATCTATCTATCTATCTATCTATCTATCTATCTATCTATCTATCTATCTATCTATCTATTTCTGTGTGTGTAATAAATATTATATATCATATATGTAGATATATGGGTGGCGTTGATAGCATATTATTATGGCTTGGCACACGCACACTTTAGACAGTGAAATAAAACTGTACGTGACACCCGAGGACCACGTACAAGATATAACTCCACGCATGTGCGTACTCTGATGTATATCTGGGCACACCTCTTACCTGCAGATTATGTACTTTATGCCGTGGTCCTTCGTTTCACACATAATTTTATGACGCTAGACATTCTCATGCCATCACGACACCAGCACCTGCAACCTTTTTCCCACTTTCAGGTGGGTTTAATAGATGTCTGAAATTGTCCGCACACCGCCCCCTCCAAAATAAAAATCCCCCTAGCTTACGCCTTAACAACGCAAATAATAAATAATGCAGTACGCGAATATTTAGCTTATGTCGTTTTAATTTCAGTTCAGTCCCATTTTTACACAAAATGCATAAGCCTTTGCCAAAATTTCTAGCACATTTCAGAAATTAATCAAGCCCATCCCGCAGAACTATGATTGTCGTAACTAAGCCGAAAGGTGTTAACGCGAGTAGATTAACTTGAAATGGTCAACGAAGAAACTGTAACCCTCCCCCCCCCCCTTTTCCAGCCCCACCTCACCCCCATTCCTTTTTTTCCCCTTATTTATTATTTTTCATCATACTGCTATGATTGCGATGGATTTGAGTGTGGAAGGAAAAGGATTTGGGTTGGAGGTGGAGAAACCGAATGTGGTATGACGTTTTATGTCTGTCAAAACACGAACATTCCCGAGTATACACCGTTTTAGGGTATGAGCAAATACAAAGATGAATTGGCAAATAGGCCAAACATCACACCGGTCGTGCGCTCCGAAGGGCTGGGTATATTTTTCTCTTCTGGGAGGCCCCCTGTCACTCGAAATTTTGGAGGGTGAGGTTGAAATGTAAACGACTCGCTACCACGGTTTTTCAAGAAGCACGTTTTGGGAAACTGAAGACGGTTGCTCCGAGATAAGACCGGATGCACAGTGACATACAGCGCGTTTAGGTGTGAGCGCGCCCTGTGGGATGTGTGAGTGAGTTGGACAGCCGAACTGACTGAGGTTAGGCCTACCACGCTTTTTTTCTGAAGGTTATAACGGGATTTTGGCTCCGTATGGATGCCGCCAAAAAGACTGTGGATATCCTTACAGCTTGAGAAATTTTCGAAGTGATCTCACTGAAGCCTTAATTCAGTTTTTTCAATTTCAAAATTAG